AACAGGAAAGAGTTTCTCGCTCTTTCCTTTTTCCCTCCATCTTCTCCCTGGGCATGAGCAGGTAGTGCCTGACCTTGGGATCACCTGCTTCTGCCCTCTCCCATGCTTCTCCAGTTGCAGAAACTTGCCTCGCTGATGACTTCTCCCAGGCGCCAGCAGTTTCTCAACTGGGCTGGAACTAAACCCTATAATTCACACTGGCAATTCTGCAAGGCCTCCCAAGGAGAATATCAAGCAATTTTAACCTGTACCCCCTCAAAAGTCTCTTAGCATTACACACTTCCTTGTCCCTCCCACACTTTTATATTTGAACTCAGAGAAGGTCTGCACACATTTCTGTCAAATCTACAGTTCTCAAGCCAATCAGGACTCTGCACCACTAAGTCAATTCAAATCCAAAATTATACCTATGATGAGAAAGTCACTCCTGTGCATCTCTGGGTGCAAAACCCATGTGAAATGTGAGTGTTAAAACTGTCAGCTTTTCAGCCCCTGTTGTGAAGGTTCTCCCTCCTTTTTGTTGCTATGAAGGTGATTTCAGCCGCTGCACTATAGGATAACATAGGGCTACTTGATTTGCAGTACTTCCTGCCTTCCTGCCTTCTGAGCATGCTCAGAGTTGTTCCCTTGAAGGCCACACATCCAAACAACTCAAAGCACCTTCTTTGTAGCTAGCCAAGAGAAAGGTGTGGTTGCTAGTTTGAGCAGCTTGTTTTTTTTATTAATATTTAAGAGAGACTAGTAGTGGACACAGTGTAAATATATTTCTATAATAAACAGTTTCAGGGCCTCTGAGCAGGATTAGGGGTATGTGATTTGCAGCACTGAAGTGCAAGCAGATATCAGCTTCTGTATGCAACTTGCATCCCTCCTCAGATGCTTGCAATGCCAGACTACCATAAACTGTAATGAGAGGTACACTCATTCCACCTGCAGATCTCCACAGCTATTCCTTCCCTGAGATGTGCACATCACAAGGGTGCATGAGGTTTGAACTCTTGCTGAATTTTATTGCTTACAAAGTGGTTAGAAACTGTTGTGCCCCTTTCCCATAGAAAACCCACACAGCAGCAACAGTTAAAAAACACCACAAAACCAGCAAAAAATATTAAAAATGTAGCTCAGTCGTAACTCCTCCCCAGACATGAAGAGCAAGTTATGTGTATGTAAAGCTGTATAGAAAAGAATATATGGCACCAAGTGGTAGAAGCAGAAAATGCAGAGAAAGCATAATGTCCAAAAACACCACGCCACACTGATTTGCATGTTGGATAGAGCTGCACTCGACATTTTATTGTAACTGTTGGAATAACTGTTGGGCCACTTGAGCTTCCATGTCAACTAGCTCCTTGTCACTCAATAAGAGTGTTGGTGCTGGTTCGCTTGAGCATAAGTAGCCTTTGGAGAGCAGGGGTCACAGATCTGCTAGGGAAAAGAGGGTACCTTCTCTTTGTGAAGGAGAGAAAAGTGAAGGGCTGGACTGGATTCCTGTAGAATGCTTCAGTTAGGGGGTTGTTAAGCTTCACTGTCTGGAACAATTCCAGCTGAAATCACTATTATTGAAATCCACCTAGGAAGCGAAGCTTGGAGATATCCAAGACCTGGCTTGGAGCTGCAGAGCAATGGAAACCATCCTCTGCTGCCATCTGTTGGAGTCCCCTCTTGCAACTCACCCCAGTTGCTGCTGAGGCCTCTCTGCTATCGTCTTCTGGTTGGAGTTCTTTACTTATTCACTCTCAAATTCTGCATCTGGAAGAACCCCACCCATCGGTTGCATCTCAAAAGCTGGCCCTTGGAAGAGGTTGAGACCTTCTTGACTGAAATGTATTTGTGTATGGTTTCCTAAATTTCTGGTTGTTAGCTGAGCATATGCCATTGCTCACAGATACCTTGCAACTCACACATCCAAACTGGGGTCCTGGTTTTCCTGCATAGGGGCTTGAGACAGAAGAATAACCAAAGGGTTACGTGTACATGGGTATTAAAAGATGGAGGTACTAAAACTAAAGCTACTTGTTGGAAATGGATTCTCATTTTTCCATTCAGGTACAGGTCACTCCATTTCTGTACCAGATTGGGTGCACATTTTGTTTTGTTTTCTTTTTTAATGCAAGCATGCAAATACAGTGGTACCTTGGGTTAAGTACTTAATTCATTCCGGAGGTCCATTCTTAACCTGAAACTGTTCTTAACCTGAAGCACCACTTTAGCTAATGGGGCCTCCTGCTGCCGCCACACTGCTGCTGCACAATTTCTATTCTCATTCTAAAGCAAAGTTCTTAACCTGAAGCACTATTTCTGGGTTAGCGGAGTCTGTAACCTGAAGCGTCTGTAACCCGAGGTACCACTGTACAGTGTTATTGTTTATTTATTACCCGCCCTTCACCCTAAGCTCCCAGCATGGATCACAAAACTACAAACAGTTTAAAAACAAATTGCAACCACAAAAATAAGGCAGTGTCCTAAAAATATGAACCTCAAGTGTCAAAAGCCAGGGTAAATAAATGCATCTTCAATATCCTCTGGAAACTGTACAATGAAGGTGCCTATTTTCTCCAATGAAAATAGGGACGTCCCATTCCATAATGATAATTTTACTATTTAAACCCCACACATCTGACTGCATTGCCCCAGCCACTCTGGGCAGCTTCCAACATATATAAAAACATAATATATAAAAACATTTTAAAAAGCCCTTCCCTATACAGGATTGCCTTCAGACGGCTTGAGGGTTGGATAACTCCATACCCTCCAACAATTCTCCAATGAAAATAGGGACATCCTGAGGAAAAGTGGGACATTCAGGTATCAAATTGGAAATGAGAATAGCTTCTCCAAATCAGGGATGTCCCTGGAAAATAGGGGCACTTGGAGGGTCTGCTGTGTGGAGAGGGAGTTCCACAACTTAGGGGCTGCCACAGAGAAGGCCCTCTCTCAGACCATCATGACCCTAAGCCTCTGAGGGCAGAGAAATTACCAAGAGGGCTCCCTCCACTGATCTCAGCACCAGACAGGATCTGCAGGGAAAGAAGTGATCTTTCAGATATTCAGGGCCTGAGTTGTTAGGAATACATTTTTTGCAAGTAATTTCCCCTAATATAGCACATTTTGCAAGAAATTTCACTAATGTGCACATTTTGATGCCTGCTTTACCCCACTGTGTGCATTTAAAAATAATGGCATTGTTTTATAGGAGCAATGTGTCACAAAATCCAGAGAAGTGTGATTTCTGAGGGACGACCATTTCACTTTCTGCATTGGTTTGGAAAGCGCAAATTAGGTAGGTTTGCATTAAAATGAAAACCAAATGACTTTTCTCCCCTTCTCTAATCTCTATATGGTACAGAATAAGGCCAGTACAGCCACAGCCCAAGAGTGCTTCATTTTGCCACTGTCACACAGCATAATAGTAGGGAGATAGCAAACGCGTTAAAGATAGGCACGGATTGGAAAAGTGATATTCCGTTGCGGGCAAGATATATTTCTCCCGTTATCTGACAGGAAAAGAGAATAACATTCTTGCTTTTTTATCAAGTGTTCAATAAAACAAAGTTTCAATGATATTGCAATGTCCTGAAAATCGTTTTAAGTGTTATTGTCAAACCCCTTTTAGTTCCCAAGTGTCAGTGCACAGCACTGTGTTCAGAGTTTTGTAGAAATGTGCTGGATTAGCAGACAGGGAGAGTCCAGTGGTGAGCTCCGTTCTGGGATGCCACAGGTCTCAAACTCAAAAGAAGCTGAGCTATACAGAGTCAGAACTTTGGTCCACCTAGCTCAATATTGTCTTGAAGACTCTTTGCCAGGGTTTCAGGCAGGGGACCAGTCCTACTTGGAGACTGGACCATGGACTGTTTGCATCCAAAGTTGATGTTCCATCACTGAGATATGGCCCTTCCCACATGCCAAGAGTAGGGAATGTTTTTCAGCCCCAAACCTACATTCTCTTCTAGGCCATTCTCTTCTAGGTGGTACATGGGGCCAGAGGCAAGAGCGAGTGGACCAATAAATGTAAAATCTACCTTTCTACAGTTGGATAGTTTATATGCATAGTTCTTTATATTCCTGAGGCATTGTCAGGGTCCAAGACACATTCAATCCAGAGAAAGCAGTCAAGGAGAGTGCAAAGCAGGATTGCTGAGGGGTGCAGCCTAGTGAGAGTGTTGGGATAGGATATTTAACCATTGAAGGTCTGTTTGGTGCAATCTAATATTACTAAGAAGATGAGCCTATGCTTTGACAAGCATATATCTTATGACACTATTTGGACGTAACATTATTTGTATTTGTACCTGTTTTGAATAAAGTTCTGTGAGTAAAGCTTTCGAAACATTCATGGATCTGCACAATTTTTATTCCAAGAGGAGTCAGTTTTTATGCATCCTATTGCTTAAAGCTGCACAATATTAATGACTGCAATACGGAAGTCATTCTGTTAGAAAACAGAAAATATTGCACTGACAAAATTACCTCCTTAGGACTATGTTGAATTCCACCAAATGAGTCTAGTGTCCAAGTAAAAACAGCTAGGAAGATGAAACAAGGTTTGCGAAGTAGAGATGTGCAGAGCCCGCCTCTCCCCTACTGTACAGAAGACACTTCTGCCTCCCTGGTGATCAGGGGGGCAGTACCCTTGCAAGCCCCCCATTTCCTTTTCAATAATTTAATCATCTAGTAGCACTGAGAAGGCAAAGGGGATGGATGATGGTGCTGATGGCCATTTTTATCTTCTTCTTGTTGTTTAGTTGTTTAGTCGTGTCCGACTCTTTGTGACCCCATGGACCAGGGCACCCCAGGCACTCCTGTATTCCACTGCCTCCCGCAGTTTCGTCAAACTCATGCTAGTAGCTTCGAGACCACTATCCAACCATCTTCTCCTCTGTCATCCCCTTCTCCTTGTGCCCTCCATCTTTCCCAACATCAGGATCTTTTCCAGGGAGTCTTCTCTTCTCATGAGGTGGCCAAAGTATTGGAGCCTCAGCTTCACGATCTGTCTGGGGAGGTCCTTTTGGTGCATGGTGTTTTTTATGCATTTTTATCTTAGACTGCATAAAAAACACCGTGCACCAAAAGGACCTCCCCGCTCCAAAGAATCCTGGGAACCAAAGCTTACCCCTCCATGGGTTAGAATTCCCAGCACCCTTAACAGGCTATATTTCCCAGGAATTGTTTTGTGGGGTGTGTGTGTGTGATGTGCTTTAAATGTATGGTGTGCACACAGCCCTACTCTTTAACCAAAAAAGGTCCCTTACAGCAGCTTTCAAATATTACTGAGAAGACAGTTCCTGCCTTCAGGCTCAGAATCTAAGACACACAGTGAAAAAGGAAAAGGGACTGGGAAGGAAGAAGAGGGGGGAAATCAGTCTCCGACACTATTCCTTAGTTTCAGAGATCTGTAGTGAACAGCAGGAATGGTAAAACAAGAAATAAAAAATGGGGAGGAGCTGAAAGTTGTTGCTCTTTCAGCAGAGCTGACGGAGATGCTGTCCCATTTAACTCCCTTCTCTTTCTCTCTCCTATAACCTAATGGAATGAGTGTGGTAGAGGACAGTGGAGGGTTGAACCTGATGGAGCTTGTCTAACAGCAGAGTAGATGGAGAAGTCATGTGATCCCATCTCTCCCTCTCCTTCACCTGATAGAACGAACGCAGCTTGGACCTTTGTTAGTCCTAAAACCTTAACCAACAGGATGCTTCCTGTGAAGATATGTCTGTGCATTGCAGCATCCCAGAGTTTCTGTTTCCTTACTAAGGATTCAGGGAATGGACTTGTTCTTCCTGAGGATTGTCCAGAAAGAAAGAAAGAAAGAACCCATTTATCCTTTTTCTTATCTTCATTTTTTTTTTTGCCAGCCATAATGGTTAGAAACTTCTCTATATAATGAATATTCATTAAATAAATATAATGAAGTCCCAGGAGGTCGGCATCTACAATATTCTGTACCAAAGCAGCCATGAAACATGAATGGCCAGATGACTCCCTGGGCAAGACCAGATAGAACATTCTCAATGGGGGAAGACCTTTCGTCTCTGGCAACTTCCAGTTACTGGGAAACTTGCCTGAAACTGAGCTTGCTTTATGTTATCGGTTCTTCTATATGCTTGTCCAACAATTCTGAATGGGTGTAATCCTTAACCGATAACACATTACAGCATGCCATATATTTTACAATTCCATTCCATAAATGCAAACCAAATTGCAGCTATTACAATAAACTCACTTGTACATTCGCCTGCACCCCAACACCCACACACATTTTGATTAGCGCTTGACAATGTTCGGCGTAACTTAAGTGAATAGAGCTATAGGGTTGCCAGCTGAGTTTTCTTATTGGCAGAATCTGGATCGAAATGTGCTGCTTCATCAAATCAAAAGGTCATTCTGAAATTGCATACGCTCTTCCCCAAATCATGTTTTCATCAAATCTGCTTGAACATTCACCCATAATTTGCTCATGTTTTTCAACACCAAGTAATGTGACCTTTCGGAATTGTGAGAATATGGATTCTGCTTTGCGTTGGACCCCAACCCCCATCAGCCTCAGCTAGCATGGCCAATGGTCAGGGTGATGGCGGTCCAATAATATCTTCAGGGCCACAGGTTTGCCATCACGAGGCTAATGCCTCTTCTAAGATGATACAGTGGTGCCTTGGTTGTCGAACTTAATCTGTTCCGGGAGTCTATTCGAAAACCAAGGCATGACTTCTGATTGGATGCAAGAGTTTTCTGCACTCAATCGGAAGCCGCATCAGCCGTGTTGGATGTTCAGCTTCTGAAAAACGTTCGCAAACCAGAACACTTAGTTCTGGGTTTGCGGCATTCGGGAGCCAATTTGTTAGGAAGCCAAGCCATTTGACAACCAAGGTGCCGCTCTACTTATTGAGATAGATGTAAGAGAAACTGGGAACCTGTGGCTCTGCAGGTTTTGATGGTTGCTAACACCTATCAACCCCAGCCAGCATGGCCAATGGCCAGGGATGATGGGAAGCAGAATAATAGAATTGTAGGGTTGGGAGGAACCCCCAAAATAATCTTGTCTAATCCCCTACAATGCAGGAATCCCAGCTAAAGAATCCCTGACAGATGGCCAACCAACTTGACTTGAGCAACATTTTAAAACACTGTATGGCAACAATTCAGCAAGTTACCTTGTCTGTAAGTTCAGGTTGATTTCTTTGGTTTACCCTGTCGTAACGGGTTTTGCTTTTAGTATATCATTCCCTGGACTCATAGTTACAAAGAAAGACGGTACTGTGTCAATCACCCAGAAAATTGTAACCAAATTAATCATCTAGCAGCTAACAGAAGCAAACACATAAACACACACACCCTTTTCCATGTCTAATAGAGAAGAGTCCAATAGTACAAGTATGTGGTTATCCCCTTAATAGGTTCATAAAACTGATGGTCAAGTTGTCCTATACAATAAAGGAAGGCTAAAGCCCCATGTTTGCAGATCCAAGCCCTCATTTACAAAAGTCTTCTGTGCAGTGGCTAGGGATGGGCAACCTGCCCTTAATCGGATTCAGAAATAATTCGGAATAATTGGATTAATTTCCCAGATGTCCACTGAATGCATGGAAAATCATATTTGACTCTGAATTAGGTCACTGCCTAGGCCATTTCCCAGAACTGTACAAAGAGCTAATTGCCAGCCCAGCTAGGATCTGGTGTGTTACCAAGAGCTGCAGAAACCAGCAAACAAACAAACAAACAAACAAAAACAAACGAATCCCAATGGTGTTGACAATTCTATCCTCCGCTGCTTAAATCTCCTTTTTGGGGGAGCTTTTATCCTTACAGTGTTCTTCAGATATCAGACGAGCAACTTTAGCCACCCTGCAAATCACCCAAGGAATTTTAAGGGGTGGCCAAAATAAATGAATACGTTCAATAAGATTGGAGAAGTTCCACAGAGAGGCTCTGTGCATTTGCACCCCGCTGTGTCACTTTGCAAAACTGAGTGACTCACCACTCATTTTTCTATTTATATATGCCCACCAGCTTCTCTGTTTCATGCACCTCATAAAGTTGGCTGATCTACAGATGCTTATCTTCTACGTTAGCATCACATGTCTTTTATTTCCTTGCTTGCAAGAAATGAACAGGTGGCAGGAAGGCATGTGGTCAGGGGCTGACTAGAAGGCTGCCTGGGATCCCATGTTTGCTACCTTGAGTTCCAAGGCGAAAGGGGGAGTACAAATGATGACTTATGGGTCACATCTTCACCGTGCATTTAGTTTGGAAAGGGTGCTGGGAACTATAGCTCTGTGAGGGGTAAACTGCAATTCTCAGGATTCATTGGGGGAAGCCATGTTGCTTAAATGCGTGACCCTAGTATAAATGTGGTCAGGGCTGTGATCCAGCCCTACTTTTACACAGAGCAAAATTCAATGGGATTTACTTCTGAGAAGGCATAACTAGGATTGCAGGCGGAGGGACTTTGTCACTCACAGCTTGCCATTTTGTGTGCTACAGCTGATGATGTCCAACTGTGGCTAGAGTGTTGGAGTAGGACCTGGGACAACAGGGTTTGAACTCCCACCTAGCCATGAAGCTCACTTGGGCCAGTCACTTCCTCTCAGCCCAACCTACCTCACAGGGTTGTTGTGGGGATTAAATGAGGAGGCGGAGAATTGTGTCCACCACCTTGAGTTCCTTGGAGGAAAGGGTGGGATAGAAATGCAATTAATAAAAGTAATAATAACTACATTTTTAAAGCTTGCCTTGAGATGATAGAACAAACACCTTCTTGACATATAAATCAGGGCAGAGCAAGCGTCTAAAGATTCAATAAACGCATCGTGCAGCTGGCAGAGAAAGCCCTTCAGCAATATGTAATAGTTGTGGGGTCTGTGGTGGCAACCCTTGGAGCGAAAATATCAAGTGTCTCTGTGTCCATCTGGAAAATATTGGGAGGTATGGCACGCATGCCAGCCATTAAAACATCTCTTCAAAAACTGCAAGTTGCGTGCTCTGAGCCCTGCCAGGCAACAGTCAGAATAGAGAAGAAGAAGAACCAATCTCAAGCTTGAACGTGCATGAAGAGACAGGTGGCATTATGCGAGTGGTGCTGGGAAGCGTTTGTGGGGGTAGAGATGTCATCTTAATTGCTGCTTGCATTATGCTTATGGTGGGTCTTTCTCCAGCTCTACTTGGGAAAGAGGGCAGAATCTTGCCTTCTAACGCACCAGTTCTCTCCCTGCCGCATATAGCTGCTCCCACAATCTGTTCCTCCACGTCAAATTTGCATTGGTTCCTCAGAGCTTCCCACCCTCTGATACAAAGCGTCCTTATGCATCACTGTCTGATGAGCTGGCAGAACGCTGAGTGTCCTCAACCTCCCTGCGAGGGAACACAGCATGCCGTTGCAAGAGCTGAGCTGATTGCCGATTTGGACCTTTGGAGAGGAGATGCTCACAGCCTGCCCTAAATTACAGGTGCCAAAGTGGATGCATCTGTCCTGTACTCATGGGCAGTCTAGGGCCATTAGCGGTGCTTTATCCACATTAATAGACCGACTCATTTCTTCATCAGTCTATGTTATGCAAATGATCACGGGGGTACTCCACGTAAAGAGAGGGAATTTGCATAGAGAGCGTTAATCAACAATCACTCCCTTTTGGAGAAATAGCAGAGCAGATGGCTGCGGTGATGGGACGAGTGACTGTCTCTTGCCTCGGCAGCCGGGGTGCACAGTCAATCAAGGAAATTAGTTTATTGTGGCTGTGATTTATCTAGGCTTCAGCTATCGTTTCCCAAACAACTCGAGAAAAACATCAAGATATATATCAGGGTCTTCTTGGCTTTCCAGTACACCAGGTGTGGGGAGATAGAGGCCCACATCTCTTCATAGGCAACCTCTGGGGAGCAACATACCAGCGGAGAGTTTGGGGAAAGAAGGCGGGGCCAAACACACACCATTCTCTATTCTCCAATGGGTCAAGCAAGAGGTACAGTGGTACCTCGGGTTAAGAACTTAATTTGTTCTGAACAACGAATGAATGGACTTGTTTTGATTAATGTCTGCAGGAGACGTCGTGGATATTTAAGTTATAATTAGAAAAATCTTAAG